TCAATAATATTGACAAAAAAAATCTCTGGGTGATGTTCTGCATTATATTTTGATTTATATTTCTCATAATTCAGAATTTTTTCTTGCACTTGCGAGTTTACATCTCGCAATTCTGACTTTTTTTAATCAGAATTGCATGACATGAACTCACAATTATGAGTTATAAAGTTAGAATAGCAGGATATAAACTCGCAATTGCTAAAAATAAAGACAGAATTGTGAGAAAAAGTCAGAAACGCAATTCTGACTTTATTTTTTAGCAATTGCAATTCTGACTTTACTTGCAATTTTGACTTTTTTTTCAGAATTGTGAGATAAGCTCACAATTGCGAGTTGTATCGTCCAATTCTGAGGGGGGGGGGGGGGGTTCTGATATGCTATCAGAATTCCAAGATTATATCTCGCAATTCTGACTCAACAACTCGCAATTGCGTGTTATAAAGTCAGAATTATAAAGTCACAATTCATCAAATCCATGTGGTTGTTTTCCCATAGTGATGTCACTTCCTGGAGGATGATGTCATTAGGAACTGGCTTTTGTTAGTTAGGGATTTTACAAAAGATTAACAGGATAGAAAGTGATATTGAGGACCACAATGGAAATAAGCCTAAGGCTTTTTTGTGTATTTTATCCTCGATAGTTTTGAAATGTGTATGAATTAGTCTTTATGGGCCTTTTTGTATTATGTTTTAAATTTTGTCAAATAAAACAAACAAACAAGCAAACAAAAAGACACAGGAAAAATATGTGTAAATCAATAACCAACTTATTAAAAAAGGAAATTAATGCATAAAACAATGGTTGCAATATTAGGATTAGAGAAAGAACAAATGAATGATGATTTTTATCTTTTAAAGTTGTCATGTGGGAACATGAACAACTAGGCCTACTTCTTAAAAATGAGCCCCTCTCAGTTTGGCTTGGATTTTCAGTATGTTTTTTTCACACAAATAAAACCTGTGATAGATCTGAATGTGGCTTGGAACAGAAAATAAACTATATACAGATGATCAGATTTTAAACAGCACTTTGATCGCTGCATTAACAACAGATATCTGAGCTATTATCTGTGCTTAGTGGGGTGGACATAATCACTTTAGTTTCAAACTGACTATTTGTCTGCTCGACTGGAAATGCCGCTGGTGAGGGCCAAGAAAGACACAGCATATGTTTATGACTAATGCAGTTAAACTCTCAAACATGATTGTAACGTCAGTGTCTATGTAGGATATCAGACCGAATCAGACAATCTAAGATTTGTTCAAAACATGGCTGAAACCTGAGGAGCCTGAATTCCACAGAGGCCCAAGACAACAGGATGTTCATAAATAAGATCCTGTCCCCCAAGCCTGAACCAACTAGCAGCTTTGAGTAGCTCACGGCATTTAAACAAAAGAACACTTATTGACAATTCCCAGGAGATTGTCAATTTTGGGGGCAAGTTATCAAGAATAATGATCAAAAGAGATGCACAGCGTGACCGTCACATGGAAACATGTGATAGTGATCACAAGCTCTTCGAATTGACATCCCCCACCTCACGACAAAGAACAGACTTTCGGAGATTCCTTAAAGACCTCTTAATCTCTGGTCTTCATGCATTCACAGAATGGCACGGAAACTGCCTTTCCATGCACCTAAATGACACTAAAAGGACTCGAGCAACTAATCATTGCTGCTATATATAATCCCATATCATGTATGTAACCCACATGTGACTTATCAGGTACCTTTAAAATCTTAAATTATTCCCTTTGAGCTAAATTGACCTGTTTCCCTTACATCTATTCACTAAGATCTTAACTAAAGGATGAAAACCATAGGTGAACATTCAAAACATTCAGCTGTCATTTCAGTAGTTGTTTCATGTTAGACACTTATCAGCCAAGTATCTCGTTTTTTTGTAGCATAGACAAAGGTCTGTCTATCTATCTGTCTGTTGTTCTATTGTTTTCTGTCGTTTTGTCATTCTGTTGTTCTGTCCTTTGTTTCATTCTGTGTATTGTTTTATAATTCTGTCTGTTGTTTTATCTTTTTATCAATCGATATTGTTTTGTCTGTCATTTTATCATTGTTGTTCTGTCCGTAGTTTTATCATTCTATCGTTCTGTTTGTTGTTTTATCATTCTATTGTTCTGTCTGTTATTTTATCTTTCTAACGTTCTGTCATTCTCTGTTCTGTTTGTCTATTTGTCTGTCGTTCTGTCATTCTCCTGTTCTGTCTGTTGTTCTGTCTGTCTCTCTGTTGTTTCTGTCTGTTTATTATATTATAAGACGCAATTATTCATGTTGCAGTTAAAGAGAACAGTAAAGACCGTGACATCTCTGTTTCTGTACACGCCAGTTATTTTTCAGAGTGTAAACAAACCTTTCTGTTAATCGAGCAGATGTTACCTATCCACCCCGAATCTCACTTCTTCCTTTCCTGCGCTGTGAAATCATCTCTAAGTTCATCAAGTGCCCCTGATAGGGCAGCAGGAGCGCTAGATTCGATAAACATCGTATTGACAGCGTGCCAGCGGCAGGGCATATGCCAGCGAGTTGTGAGAGGTGTGGAGCCGTGAGCAGCAGATGTGGGGGACGAGTCGCGCTCGTACCGCTGCCATGTCTGCCGCTGATGAGATTGGAAACTGTTGCTTGTATGCTGTGGGGCAACTTATCAATAATGGATCAAATTGGTAGGCAACATTAATTAGAGGAGAAATGAAGAACTTGTGCTTGTTTTATGTTTGTGTGTGAGTGTGTGTGCAGTGTGATCTCATTAGTACTTGTAAATATTTGGATGTGAAGTATGGTTCTAGCACATTTGAATATATTTCCATTCATTTGGATAGACACTGCTGACAGCAGATACTGTGAAACATAAACCTTATTGCATTTAAATGACTTGAAATGTAAAAGAATCCTTAACGGTTCACAGAACATAGATCTCATGCAATCATCAGCAATGCAGTTAACTGTTTATTAGTTCCTTGTGGTTTCTAAACAATGAATCAGTGAAATATGTATAGCATGTTTCACAATAACATTGTTTCACTTATATTTTGAACTTATTGAGCTTTCATGAGCCATACAAATATTGCAAAGTACTTTTGTTAGTCCCATTTAAATTTCATTTATATATACATTTTCCATTCAAAATGATCTTTACAGTAAAAGTTTTTCCTCAAAGTCATGCCATGGGCTTGTGTTTGAGTTTTAGACTCTGTCACCTGTTGGAGTAAACTCTCAAACTTTCTGACACGTCAGAGATTTCAAAACGTCTTGTAGGTCTCTAAAGTGGTACATCTATAGAAGGCTTTTGAACTTTAGATACTATCAGTGATACGCTGCCATTGTATCTCTCCAAAAGTGTATGAATCCCTTAACATCCCTCAACAAAAATTCAGAACAAAAACCACACACTGCAATGCTATGCTAATTGTTTGACACGTCTCGATTCTGAGTATGAAAACATCTTCTTTTCCCAGCGTAGGCCTGGGACGAGCAGGGTGGCAGTATGAATATGTGAACACTTCAAAGGCAATTAGAAACCGAGGGTTACATAAACTACAGGAGACCTCATTTCTTCTTCTGCTGCTGTCTAACTGAACCCCAGCGGGCAGACGTGTTCCACAAAATCACGTCTTTGACTGGTTAATTTTTTCCTTCAATAGATCGCGAGGCTATCCGATCGCTCCCCCTGGAAAATTCTGAATATTTGACTATTATTGGTTTTTTCTACGGTTGTGCGATTTCTTTGAGGATACCTTTGATGTGGTTTGCGAGTCTTGCTGGTATTGTAGGATTCATCGCCTTTCGGCGCTCGTGGCAAATTAATTATTTTTGTAGCATTTTAATCCTCTTGTGTAGCTTAATACGCAGGGGCAAATTAAGACGGCAATGAATATTTGGTCCTTGAAATATGCAGAAATGTAAACGTAAGTATCCTGCAGGCAGAAGTTTCATCATGTTGAATCTGAGCGCTTAAAATGCACACAAACCAAAGCGATTTCCATGTTGGGTGGTACAGAAAGTAACGTCCAATTGAGTAAGGCTGTGTGACATGTTCAGCCCACCCTGTAAAGATTCAGAAAAGAAAATAGTCTGAAGGAAACGAGAAATATAAATAGATATCTATATGCAATATGCTGATTGGTCAATACAGTATTCCAGTCCTAATATAGTAATTTTTTGAAAAAACTTGTTCAGCTGCTATTGTAGAGGCACAAAAACGATCTCAGAAAAATTTGCCCCAAAATTATAATGAATAATTTTTGCATGATGGAAAGCTTTTAAAAAAGTTTTAAAAAATATATTTATAATTTTTTTCTCATGATAGCTTCACTTTTTTTTTGTTGATTTTTCGTGATAGTTTCACAAAATATTATTATCATAATATGTCTGAGCTGCTTTTTAAAATGTTTTTAACACTTTTTTCTACTTTTTACTTTTTTCATTGGTAATTTCAATCAGAAAATACTGCACTTGTCAAAATTAAGTTGACATGGTGTATTATTAATATATAAATATAATTTTTTAATAAAATAAAATAAAAAATAAATTATAATTGAAATATTCAGAGACAATATATTTTATTAATTAGCTTTATAATATAGTATTTTAATAAAAATCTGTGATCTTGATTTATTTTTTTACGTTGTAACCATTTCTTAAAAACAGTAAGCCAAGGCTGTGCTGTATTGTGTCACTCCGCTACACGTCATAAATTGCAATAGCTGTTTAGTCATGTCTGTATTCACAATACAGCACGCCCTCTTGCACTTTACTGCTTAAATAAACCCCCTCTCAAAGCTACGATACAAGATGTGTTAAAACGAGTACATTTAATTAGTGCTATTTCATCCTGGCTTTCTAATCCTTAGCTCCCGGCTAGCATAAAGCTTAATGCGGTGGAAAATCGTGTTTTTAGCGAAGATGAAGTAATGATGGCACTCTGTGGCTTAATCATATTGACATATGCCATCTTCCCCTCTTCTCTCTCATGTGTGTTCTGTAGGCAGCTGTTCGTTTGAAGAGCACTACAGTAATTGTGGCTACAGCGTGGCGTTGGGGACTAATGGCTTCGCCTGGGAGCAAGTCAACACCTGGGAGAGACCCTCCATGGACGCGGCCGTTCCCACAGGTATGGGATACACCTCCATGCCTCACTCTTTCGTGTTTTCTTCATCTCTTTCTCTTCTGCTGAGGTATTTTTAAAGGAATAGTTCACTCAGAAATGAAAGTTCTGCCATTATTGTTAGAGATGCACCGATTGATCGGCCAGAGATCGGAATCCACCGATTTTCCTCATGATCGGCCGGTCAGTCTCACTTCTTTCCGATTTCGAGCCGATCCGTTTTGTTACCAGCGTCACAGGCAATAACGTCAGCCGCGCATTCTTGCTCTCTTCTCTCCGATGACCCCTTCTCTCTCACACACGTCTCATTCGCTCCGGTTAAATAGTGCTTGTATTGCGCATTATTTTAGTCATTCCCGCAGGTTTCGCACTTATACCAACCGCGCGCACACCACCACTGATCAATATTAGTGGAGCGCACAAACCGCGCTCAGTCTCAGCTGTGGCTTTAACTTCTGTAGTATTTTTTTACTGAATAAAAACTTACTTGACCTGAAAAACTTAGTTTCATAGCTCTCTTTATTCTATTGCATTTATTTGTGCTGTTGTTTGCAATTTTTTTTATTTGTACTCATTTTATTACTGACTTTTTACTTGTGTTTTTTTACGAAAATAAAACTTTGCATTGAAGAAAAGTAGATTTTTGTTTGTATATGCTGTCAATTATAGTTCTTAGAAAGAGAATCGGAATCGGAATGTTTATGTATGTTTTTTTTTTGCTTTTAGAGCTTAACATATATGATTAATTGATGTTGTATGAAGAATCAAACATACAGGTTTGAAACAACATATGGTTGAGAAAATAAGTACATTTTCATTTTTGGGTGATCAGTTCCTTTTCCAGCTGCTTTCTTTCAGCAATTCCCAAGATCCATTTTCTTCAGTCATATCTCAGTCTCTAAATCATTTTGTTCATGTTTTTTGCCTTTCATTCTTCTCTCTATTGGCCTCTTGTTATATGGAGAAGGCACTTTGGCCTCCCATCTGTCTCGAAGTCTGTCTCTTTCTCTCGGAAGCGAGGCAGTAGTTCACAGCGAGACAAATGGCAATCAAGTTCGCTGTCACTCTCACTCAGCCGTCTCCTGCAGTGCTCAACAACCTCTGTCTCGCAGCACCCTTAAAGACAATAGAGTCAGCTACACAACTGCGTCTCTCCCCGCCAGCTTATTTAACCCCATTTGCTCCCTACACACTACATCTGACACCAAAGCACTCCAGCTTCCAGACACTCCATTGGAAAGGTGCTACATCCTTATAAATGACAGTTTTGGGGGGTAGTGTGCTGCTTTTAAGCCACTAAAGAAGTTTAGGGTTGCTGTAGTGAAAGCACCTTTCCCAGAATTGGACGGTGGTTTTCAGAAGACGATAGTGTTTTTTTTTTAAGGCAGTGGTTCTCAGTTGGTGGGTTGTGTCCTAAAAATATGAGCTGTTGTAGTTCAGAGGGACATATATATATGTATATATTTTTTTATATTATTATTTAGGAGCTTGAATATTGGCCTCTTTCTTAAAAAACAAAGAAAAAAAACAATCTGTAGTTTGTAATTGAATTTAATATTATAGATACATTTTATTATTTATTTATAACTAGTTATGGTTAATTATTCATATTTCCCCATGAGCTAAATTCGCTACATTAATAATATTAAAAAAAGATTAATAATCAATACATTAAGTATTTTATATATATATATATATATATATATATATATATATATATACAG